GAACTTCCCCTTGATCATAAAATGTTTGGAACATACTAGACTCAACCTGTAGGTTAATGTAGTCCGTCATCACATGCAATGAATTTCGGTGGAAATGGAATCGCATATGACCTATTCTCAACTAATGAAAGAAAACCAAAGCTAGGGAACCTGTTAACGCTGGAGTTGATAAGACTAAACTTCCACTCGGGGTAAGTGTTGAAGGTCAGCTTCCCCAAAAATAGTCCAAGTGACTCAAAGAGGAACCTACACATTCCATTTTACATGAACAAAGTGGGCTCTGTAATTCCTGGAAGATAACGCAAGATTCCGGCTTGGAAAGACAAGAATTGCTGTAGAATCCTTGAGAAGGGGTCGTAGTCAAAGGGAAAAGAGGGAAGCGGGTGGATAGGCTCACTGACACGTGGTGGTGGTGCCAAGGGAGACGGCCCGCTTTCGCCGGTGTTTGGCAAACGTGGGGGGGTGGGGGCAACGGTCAACCGCCGTCGCAACCGCCCCACGTGATGAGGGCCGGTAGGATCCCGACATGTCGCACGCTCTCATGCATGGCTGCCGAAGACACGCCAATGATGCAGCTTCTCTCTCCCCGGCCCACGTTATTCTTCTGCACCGTCTCATATTCATTGCACCCCCACCCGACATCTCCGGCGTGGTGGGGACAGCAGTGGCGGCAGCGGCCGGGGACAAAAATGAGAGAGAGAGGCCGCCATGTTCTTGCATTAGGACATGTGTATCAGAAGTCGGGAGAGGAGGGAGAGAGGGGAGATGGAGGCCACCATGTTCTTGTCTCTGGGACAGGTTCACCAGAGAGAGAGAGAGAGAGAGAGGGAGAGAGAGAGAGAGAGAGGACCATCTTCTTGCATGTCGAACATGTGACTCTGGATAGAGAGAGAGAGAGAGAGAGAAAGAGAGAGAAAGAGAGAGAGGGGGGTGCTTAGCCTTCTTGCACGTAGGAAGGGCGGCTGGTTGGCCCGCTTGGCATTAATTGCATTGTGTGGAGATGCCGACCTTGTCCCGTAGCCGGCGGTGGGGGATCGACTGATTGAGAGAGCGAGGGATCCCGACCAAATCCCTGTCTCTGAAGGGGCGCTGCCGACCCGCAACGTCTTCCCACCGCCTGCCATTTCAGCCGAAGGGCTGGCGGGCGCTATCCAAAGAGGATCCCGGCTTCCCCTACGGCGTCTCCCCTCCGTAACTGCTACGTCCGGCCGGTCCCCCGATGAGTTGCACGGCAGCGCTCAGCGGGGACCCCGGACCAACCATAGGCGAACGCATGGCGCCTGGCAGAGGGATCCTAGCAACCGAGGCCGTCTCGCGAGGCATCGATCAGCCCCTGGCGGGAATAACAGTCGATGAAAAAATCTACGCTTTTAAAGTGATTAGATCACAGAACTAGCAACGACAAAGACGTCCATCAAGGTTTTTTGAAGTGGTTGCTCCGTTATATATTCTAGAGACTTGGTGGTTGTCGTCTCTGAATCTGATGGGTACTCTATTCCAGATTAGCGTATTTATAAGAGGTTTTGGGATAAGGTAAATACTATTCATGAGGAGAAGATGTAAGTGAGCTAAAAACCGCAACCCTAAAACAAAGAGTTTCTAGAGAGGAAGCAGACGGAGAGAGGTCCTCGTCTCTCAAATGGAGAGGTAGACTTGATTGACTAAAAGGAGATGAAGATGGAAGATGAAGAGGAAGAGATGACCCGATAAACATGGGAGATGAAGATGAATATGAAACAATGTAATAAAGTCGAAATGTTGGAACATACTTTAGGGTTAACAATCCATAGATACTATGTGGGGTCATCTCGCAATTTATGAAAGAAAACTTGGAGTCATGTTTAAAAGACAAACCAGGACAGGCAAAGTCAATATTTATTTAGATTATGGCACAACAAACCCACTCATTGGACAATCCACCTTAATGACAATGGAGAAAAAAACTATTGAAGTTTACATGCTATGTTTCGATCAATAATGTGCTCAAATGTATATAAATATATAAAAAAATAGAGGATAGAGGATTTTAGTGACTCAAGAATTGAAGCACCAATTATAAGAAAATATATTGAACTTTCTAGTATTTAACCTTAGAATATCCTAAAAGTATCATGTTGCATCCATTTGGTATTGCCAAATAGACTTAACTAGTCAAGTCCAAGATTGACTTTTTGGATATTTCTGAAACAAATAATGATGACATATCTAAAGTGTTCAAGATAAGTTTAATTATTTAATCCTTTTAAATGATAAATGGTGTCATCTATGTCATGTTGGTGATATATTCGGTGAATAAAAATATTAGTAAATAGCAAATGCAATCAAACAAGAACTATCATGGCCCTAGACAAGCTGAAACTAATAAATAGCACGACTGTTAAATCTTTTTTTAATTGGTCTTTCACCTCTCCATATTTATTTTCAACTCATCAATAACTCTAGAATAACTTTAATTTACAACATTTGGTTACAATTGAGCTGAATCATCATATGTAGTCAGATTGTCAAACCTCATTTTTAGTTCATGAACAGAACATTTGTTTTTATCTCATTTAATTTTAACTAAATAACTTATTTTTTAAGTGTTGCCTCATAAAATGATTGCATAGTTAGAAGTAAAAACTCCGAAGCCAAATTATACGAGATCTTAAGTATCTCTATAGAATAAAATTTATTTAATTATCAACAAATGTACTAGTAATGTGTATATTAACACATGTCAATATTTGGTTTGATTTAAATAATTTATTTAGGCTTGTCTAATGGATTTAATAGATAAAAGTAAAAAATACTGTCACATATTTCAACAATCATTGTTTTGTTTTATTCTTTGCATCCCATTGGTATACCTCACATTTCAACGGATTCTTCACTTGCTTGAAGTTGAAAACGACAGACTTGGCCATTATTGTTTTCTTCGCATCGAATAGATTGAGCCATGTGACTTTATAATTTGGCCGTATGCTAGAATTAAATGATAGAAAGCTGACATGCTACATTAAATTAAGGAAAATGAGCCATGCAGCTAGCTCCCACTAGTGCAGAACATAACACAGGATCATACCCTTAACCTACTGGCAGTCTACTTCTGAGGTCAAAGGAAAACTAAGCTCTTTTCTTGCAGCACCATAAACCCTCCAAAAGGCAGAGTGGAAGAATAAAGCGGAAGAAGAAAGCAGCGTACTTCGTGTGAGCCGAAGGAATCCAAACCACAGAGTGGTGCAGCCCTAGGCAATGGCCATTTTCTCTCCCTCGTCTGCGGAGAAACCATGGCGAGGGATGAGGAAGAAGAAAGGTAGAGGGGACCGGACCTCCTCCCCCAATCCTAGCCACTATTAATAGCAGACGAAACTGAATTCGTAAGCCAGCGATAAGTTCTCCTTTCCTCTTCTGTCTGATCGTTTGTGTGTAGCGCTTTGTTTGTCCGTCTCTTTGCAGGTGCAAGTCCCGATGGGGAAGGGGTTGGTGGTCGCAGTTCTGAACGCCGCTGGCCTTATATTTATTGTTTTTCTCTTATTGGCATCCTCGATCTCCCCTTGTCCTCCTTTCCCTGGAACTTGGAAGAGTTAGAGCGAGAAAATAATCGAACAAGGTGTGGATGGAAGAGAAGAATGGTTGAACGAACGGAATGGAACAGGATGAAGATCGCTTAGGGATTGGGTTCCGTCTATCGATTGGCGTTCCTGCATTGGTAAACGCAGATGGTGACGTAAAAGTCACCAGAAGAGGGGAAGAGGGGAAGAGGGGAAGAGAGAGAAGGGGAGAGAGAGAGAGAGAGAGAGGGGGACCGAACCCTGTCTTCTGCATAGAAAACCATCAGAGCGCTAGTCTAGATTCGCGATCAGAATGCATATGGAACTTGCTCATAATAAGATTAAGAATAATCTCGTTCCGGGAGCTTCTGCGCTAGTATGAATAGTACCAGAAATATCGCAGAAATATTATCGCCTTTATTAAAAAAATTAAACTGATAATTAAATATAACCATGGGTGCTTAAATTAGAACAGGCCTGCCGTTGTTTAGAACTGATTACATCGATCACATAAATATGTTAATATATCAGGGCGGCCCGATTCCCTCACAGTTTTAGACCTGTGGATAATCTGAACTCGAGACTTACCCTGTTGGACGAGAGACGAATAACAGGTATGAGATCTATAAAGTAGCGCCGACGGTCACCTGGGAGAGAGCCATAAAGCCTTAGCTGCCCCTGCTGCTCTCCCCGATCCACAGCAGCGCGAGCAGCGGTGGCCGGTGGTGGCAGGATAGTCGGTAGAATATCGGAGGCCGGTTCTCCGCCGCCCTCCGATCAGGGAGTTACTACCCATCGTGGTCGTCGGATGGCCGACTGGCTCATTTAAGAGGGGAAGGAGAGGGGGGGTGGAAGAGCTCCTCTCGGCAGCTCCCTCTGACCTCGTCATGTGAGTGTGGGGTTACCGGCGGTTCGTAAAAAAACCAGGGGATTTGGAAGAAGACCCTCGTGCAGTAGTTTTCCCTGGGGAGAAGCCCTTCCTGCAGTAATCTACTGTAACTTTTCCAACAAGCTTGTAGTACCGACGACCTTTTGATGCTCGCATTTAATACGTCAGTGAAAACACAGAAAGCTCTAGCGAGAGAGAGGGAGGGGGGGAGGGGGGTGGGGGGCAATAAACAGTGGTGAGGCTATTATATATATAGGCATATCCCTGCAGGGGTTGATCGTAGGCCGGCAATAAACGCATATCTAACTGTCGAGCTTGTCTTCTATTTCTCCTTCCTATATTCTCCTCTCCTTTGCTTCCTTTATCTACTGGTCTGCAGTTCTCGGGAGGCTGCTCCGAGTCCACAGCGCTCCCTCCAACTTCTTCCCTCTCTGTAGAATCGGGCTTTTGTATTTCTTCCTTCCAAAGTTCTCCTATCAAAAGTAGAGAGAGAGGGAGAGAGAGGGGAGAGAGGGAGAGAGAGAGAGAGAGAGAGAGAGAGAGAGAGAGAGAGAGAGAGAGAGATTAGCTTGGAAACCATGGACTTAGGCTTCCACTGGAATCCATCTGCAGATATCCAAATGGACCTGGCGACCATGATGACGCAGATGGAGAAGTTCCCGGGCTTCTCCGCTGAACCGCAGCCACAAGCACCCTTTGTCGACTTTACGGCTGTCAGCGACGCATCCCCACCGTCACTCTACGACATTCAAACTCTTCCGGCCACTGATCCCCTCTTCGGTGACCTTGCCGCCGCGGCCGTGGGGGACCCCGCCGGTCTGTACGTTGGCGGCCACCCGCACCTTCACCCTTCGGAGGGAAAACAGGCATCGATGGCAGCAATGAGGGAGATGATATTCCGCATGGCGGCAATGCAGCCGATCCACATCGACCCGGAGTCGGTGAAGCCGCCGAAGCGCAGGAATGTGAAGATATCCAAGGACCCGCAGAGCGTGGCGGCGCGCCACCGCCGGGAGCGCATCAGCGAGAGGATTCGGATACTCCAGCGGCTCGTTCCCGGGGGGACGAAGATGGACACGGCTTCCATGCTCGACGAAGCCATCCACTACGTCAAGTTCTTGAAGACTCAGGTGCAGTCCCTCGAAAGAGCTGCCGCCACCAGGGCCGGGACCCTTGGCCTACCGTCAACACCACGAGCGTCGGGAAGGGCCTATGAGGCGCCGGCCCAGCTCCAGCAGCAGCTGCCCATGAATCTTCATCATTCATGGATGATGAGCTGAGATGGCGAACTCCTGTAACAACTGTAGTCATAATCCGCTCAGTAATCATAAATTTCGATGTACAAACCACTCCGCTCCGTAAGAACATGGACCATAAAACCTAGTCTATAAATCTTCACTTTCTCTGTAATCCCTTCTCGCCCAGCAAATCATAACCTGATGTGTCTTTCTTCTTGGTGGCCCACGCAAATCTTTCTTAAGATTGAGATTGATTTCAGGGCACTGTTCAAAGGACTGGATATGCAGTAAAGCCCGGCTCCGGGAGCGCCGTGCCCCTCTCCGTCCGCTTGCCGACGGCGGCGGCCCGCTGTGGTTACTGTGACAAGGAGACCAGCCGTCCTCTTGGTTACAGGCTTCAAGTCACACTGTTACCGGGATTAATTGAAATACGAGAAAATATTTATTACCGGGCAGGTGTTTCACTGTTGCGACAAGAAGACCCCGTTCATCAGTCACTCTACAGTCTTGAAATTACACTCTTTCGAATGCATTAATAAAGAAGATCTCAATGGGTGTGGATGCATCACAAAATCGGAGACTCGTACCTTTTTAACGAATGGCGTGGAATTTAATTTGATTAAAATATGAGATACTTGAGTTATATTCTGTTTTAGTTTCCCTTTGTCAGCGTCACTCTCTGCATATTTTTTGCTTGTAAATATACATATATATAACGCAATGGCCTATTCTTGGAATTTATAAGATCTTTAAAAAAGTTGGTTAGTTTATAACAAAGAGTTTGTTTTAATGGGAAGATGTTGAACCTTATTTATGCTTACCAGCTAAATTATGCATTCCTTTGATTACACATTCCCATCTCCCTCTGATTCCTATGAATGTATAATTATGGCTTATGTTCATCTACGCTTGTTCAATTTTATTTTATTTTCAAACAAATTCTGAGTTGATCAGGACAATCGTAGGACTCAACTTTAATCACCAATTAATCTTCTACCAACTTACTGAAGGGAGAATCCGAAGTGGATCAGCAAGAAGACTGTGTTTCAATCAGGGTTGGTGATGGGTCAAAGTTAGACATAAGGAAAGGTAATGTCAAGTGGAGGAAAATCTATTGCTTGAGGCATCGGACCTAGGGGAAACATGTTCTCCACGAGGGTCCCCCGGACACTTACTAAAGAAGCTTTCCGTATGGGAACTCCTCTAATACCAATTATGTCCAACATTGTTTTTTTGCCGGATATGTATATGCACGCCAATAATTTTCGTTTCGGGTAGCCCCCACAGTTTAGATACCATATAAAGATCTTACAAATATAGAAAAGACAAGGCTATCTATATAATTACTAATATTTTAAAGAGGAAGGGGCCCTTATGATGGACTGAAAGTGTCGACGGTTGGAGGGGGACGGTGTTAGTTGGGAACGGGGGCGTAGATGGAGCATCTTAAATGACCTAGGGCCGTTAGGCTTTTAATGAGCCCCGCAGGGCTCGCCCCAATCATTTAGAGGAAGCATCATGGCCCCGGCAGCGTCTCTACCACTGCTCTTGTGCCCAACTGACGCGTGGATGGGAGAGAGAGATATCTAGGTACAGTGAGAGAGCGAGAGAGAGAGAGAGGGAGGGAATAATTCATTTGTTGCCAACTCTGGCATAGTTCTCATAAGCGAGTCCAAATGAAGGCGGGTTTCTGGATTAGCTAGGATATATATGAAAATCTCCAACCCTTGGTCTGCTATCGGGGTGAAAATGAAATCACATGAAGTCATGGCATGTAAGACTATGCAAGATCAAATAATCTGGATAAAAATTGGAAATCCGGTTCTGGGGACCTTTGAGGTAAAGTTTCACGTCAGAATGAGACACTGCCAATTTTCCTTGATACTGGCGGTCATAGGTGGAAGAAAGGAAACTCATTTGGGGCACTTAGTATCTGCCACGTCTATATGGGTTACTACTGGCAGCCATGTATACATATAATCAAACTGTTACCCTTCTGGGCTACTAAGAGCTGCTATTAAAGACAATATTACTAAATGTGTATTTTTACTATAATTTCAATGAATCCATTCATAATTTGATTATATTTTTGTTTCAATTGGTATCATGACTTTTCCAATTTTAAAAGTCACCTTTGGGCTTTTTTTTGGTGGATTTCATTATAGGGCCGTTCAACAGCATCTTCATTTTTCTAATAAAATGTCATATACATTAGGCCACTAGATTATGATTGGATGTGAAAATGGAGAGAGAAAGAGAGAGAGAGAGAGAGATAAAGGAACCAGCATTCTACTAATTGCCCTTCATGCTTCTTGCTCTATGAAAAACCATATACTTTATGCACGATTTTCCCCTTGCACATATTTTAAGAAGGCCAATCCTAAAGTATTCAAGAGTCACATTGATCATTGAAATGTCCACATCAGTCATAACACATCCTCGTAGGGGTTCTCATGAAATCTAAAATACACAATAAGATCAACTGCCCAACCAGTAAGATAGTATTTATAAAACATGAAAACAACAAAGTTTGTATTGAGTTTTGTTGTTAATGGATGTAAGTTATCATCTAACTCTCGTTACTTACTGACATACTGTCACAATTAAAAAATTGATATCATGGATGACAAGATAAACTTACCACTATGTTTGAAATGGTGAAATATGCAAAGGCTTAAAAGTATTCATAGTTCTCAAGCTTTCATGATGATCAAAAAATGAAAGCATCATCTATGATTGTTCATGAAAATATGCCAAGGCTTAAATGGTGAAAGGGTTGATTGTTCAACAATCGACCCTTTCTCCTCCTTTTTTTGATTTTTTTTGATTTTGTGTCTTGTAATGGATGTATGAAATTTGTTCAGTTACATATATTATACAACATGCAAACAATATGAATATAAGAATACATACCCATATATGATTCCATGCACTAGAACGTATTCTATGTTTTATATGAATCTAATAACAAGTTAGGAATGGATGGTAAAGCAAACTAATAGAGATCACAAGAAAATAATGATTATCATTGACTTGGAAAATAAAAAACGAAACAATATTAGGTTTTGACCTAAATGGAGAGGTTAATGCTTTAAACACAAACTAGGGAGCTACCTAGATTTTAGTAATATTGAGTTCTGAAATCTCAAATAAGTTTTAAAGTTGAGAACAAGTGAGACATGAGCGTGATCGATCTTCTTGGCTTTCAAGCACTCAAGAGGTGATCAGCTCTATTTTGTGTTGCCTTTCTCTTATTCTCACTCAAAAGTTGTCCTCAAGGCTCAACTAGGTAGTGGAAACCACCAAGAGGTGATCAGCTCTATTTTGTGTCACCTTTCTCTTATTCTCACTCAAAAGTTGTCCTCAGGGCTCAACCCTGGCCTCTTATATAGAGAGCTTATTGAACTATAATGGTTGTCTCTATGATTAGTTGAAAAGTCTTTATTAAACCATGTGCACTTCTTGAAATACACATAAAATGCACTCATTAATCTTATAAAGCTCATAATGATTCAAAATCATCTTGTTTGATGAATCACGTTCCTTGTCTATTTTTTTTTCCAATGAATTGTCATATATGTGGCATCATCTTGCAAGTAAAGAATGTTTTTATTTAGGTTAGAAATATAAATCACTTTACCCTTTGAGTGATATCCATCAAATTTAATCAACTGATTTAAGCTACAGCTGATCACATATTTATCATAACAGAAAATTATCATTCATAGTTACCACAGTCTTAAAACTTTTGAAACTCTTCAAAGCCAATAGAAAATTTCTATAGTACAAACTACATCAATGAATTCAATTTATTAATTAGTCAATTCAGCTACATAGAGCTCAATTTTTATGATAAATTTAGGTTTTTAATTCTGATTTATTCCTTGATTAAGAATTGGAGAGCACTATGAGTATTGTGAATGATTTTTTAGGACCAAAAAAATTGAAGTTGAGTGAAGTTTGTAACTTGACTCCAACTAAGAATGTTTGCATAGGAGAATCAGGAAAAAATTAAGCCAACCTTATGTTTTGAAGGTATGGGTGGAACACAGTAGAGGCATCAGCATGGTGGGAAAGGTAAATGATGGATTTGGTATAAAAATCTTTTCATGATAATCATAACATAAATATGGACAAGATAACGCATCATAACAGTTTAATAATTTTTCTGATTATAGAGCTAAATATTTTGATGATCATGATGCTTGTTATTAAGTCAAGCCTAAAAATATGCAAAATCTAGATCAATGATAAAATGGTAATTTTTATATCATAAATTTATTTTAATTTTTTGTGACTCTTTAAAATGCCTAAGATATTTAGAATTTATTAATACCTTGATTTGTAGAATATCATAGGAACATTTTACCTTGTCCTAATAAAGGTGTTCACATATCTTAATCTTAACATGAGGATAGAGAAGGAGATGGTCATTGTGCATGACATAAAATGACATCAATGAAATTGTCCATTTTGTGCACCATTTCCACAAAAAATGTTTGAACCATGATAATTACATTCAATTTCTCTTAACTATTGATGGTTTACCATTGAGCGAATTTTATTTGATTTAAATTATAGTTTACACTCATTTCACATTAAATATTTGAACCAATTCAACACTATTATGTCCATAATGTGGTAAACCTAGCCTTGTGATACAAAAGCCAACATGACTTTTGGAGTCTTAGTTTCAATGATGCTAAGCTCACATAAAAAATATATAAATAGGTCAAAGTAATGTTAATATTCTATATTCGTATTCACACATCAGTGATCTTTTGGATACATATTGGAAATTAGATAATTATAAATTCATGAAAAATGGATATTAATGATTGTAAATTTTTAGATAAAAATTCAAATATATATTTGGTTTTTGTGTTTGAATTTTAGAGTTATGATCAAAGTTACTACTTTATTTACTATGATTTTAAATTTAAAAACTCTTCTCTAATCACTTATGATTTTTTAACATTTATAAATCTCAATTTGATTAATTAAATCCTCTATAATCACTTACTAAATAATCACTAGACAAA